TATATATGGGATGTCAAACTGGCTCCTCGTTCGAGAATAGCTCGTGCCCGGCTCTTCTGACTCGTTCATTAAGAAACGAACACGAACAGTGGCTTCGCGAACACTTTCGAACACGAGCTTATTTCAAACGAACCTAACACAAACACAAACTCTGTTCGTTCGTGTTCGGTTCGTTTACACTCCTAGATTCAACATTAAAATGTTAATATATCATTATATCTCCTTGAATTTATCACCACTCAACAACACTAATACCCAAGAATATAAAATTCTTATTTAGTAATTAATTTATATATAAATAATATAGCAAGAGATGATCATAACACGACATGAAGAGCCACAAAAATAAAATTATAATTCATAAGATTAGCACACAACATTGACGTCGAACCACGGTAGAAAAAATGAAACGACACAAAAACAGAAGCATTCATCACCACCGTCCATTCCACGCACTTTGAAACAGAAAACAATCACTGCCGTAGAATTCACTCGGCAACCGCCACGTCGAAGATTTTGGCGATACGCTCGGTGGGTACCAGCGGCAGGTAGGCGGAGACAGCGTAACCCTTCTCCGCGGCGGACGTAACCGCGCCGTTGTAACGCTGCCCGGGGAGGCCACCCCCCCCCTCCCCTCTTGTGGGAAGCCCGGTAGACGATTCAGCGCCCGCCACGCCGACGCAGCGAACCGCTCCGCCGCCGGCTCGGCCCGGAAACAAGCAGCCTTTGCTAGACCGGCAGCAGTCGACACCACTCCCGTTCGCTGGACCTCACCGGCGACCGAGCGGGCCAATTCAGGCGCCTTCTGGGCCTTCGAATATGCCTGCTTAACCCCGTCTGGCACGTGCCGCTCCAGCTCCTGGACCGACGCGCCGACCTGCATGACATAACAGCTGTGAGAGATCGGAGGCGATCACGGCTTGAGGAAAGGGGGAAGGAAGGGATAGTAGGGCACCTTGCGATCAGCGAGCTTAAGGAGATCGAAGGGGAGATTATGGTAGCGGTCGTAGACCGGACCTACGATGGCCTTGACGGTGCCTTCGACGCTGTCGACTCCATTTCGAAGAGGGCCGGATTTCTCCTTTGCGTACAAGTACAGACTCGAAAACCACAGAACACCGCTCTGATCGCTGCCAGATGAACGATCTCCAGGTACTGCAGTTTCTCGATCTCTTCTTGCCCCTTTAAGCAACAAATTTTATGCATTGAATCAGATTTAAAAAAAAAAAAATTGATGAAGGAAAAGCTAAATTGCGTTGGGGAAATTTATCGTTATGAAAGAAAATAGGCAGAAACGCTTACTGTTTGGTTGAATTGGGCGTCAGATTCGGCCATGGCTGTAAAATTGAGAAACCCTAACGAGATTGGAATTCGAGAAGGAGCAAAACTTGACGAAAGGAATTCGTTGAGCGGTTTTGAATGGGGCGTGGATACTTGTTATATAGGGGGATACGCGTTCGCGTTGAACGGTCAGGATTTACGGCCGTGTGCGGCTGATCCTGTGACCGTGGCCACACACACGGCGGATGGAACTTCGAGGTGAAGGCTTCATATGTAAGAAGAAAATTTTAATAATTTGATATAAGTATTTACATATCTAATAACAATGTGTTATACATTTATACATGGAAAGTATATTTGACTTTTGCAATGTTTTCAATAGTATAATTTTTGATGTGTTGGTAACATTCTAAGTCATATAGATATAAGTATTAAAATTTAAATGTCAGATATATAAATATATATGGTGGATCTTGGATTGTCTTTCGTGAATGCTCATCGAGAGTTAAAAGTCGAGTAAAGAAAAGAATAAATTAAATCAAGAGTTACTGTGGAGAGAACCGATGGAGTCCAAACAGTCTGCCCCTTTGGTCTTCCATTTTTCTCTTATTTATAAAAATGTCTTTGTTACAATTATAGAAAGTAGATAAGAGTTATTAAAACAGTTCTTAATATGATTAATGTTATAATAAATTATATAGATTTTATTTCATATATGTTTTACAATTTTAATTTTGATATGTAGCTAATTGGTTGGTTGATCCGCTAGAATGCACCTGAGTGAGGCGATTGAGTGGGTGGCGATCGTGTCTTGTGTGTGATCGACCGAGGTGTTCAGTCGACATCAACCTCATCCGCCGCACCAAGAGCAGGTCGGCCATCCAATCACGATCAAGGAGTTTTCTGCTTGCACTTCTGTTGGTCGGTTGGTGGACTGATGAGTCGATTTATTTTTGTCGAGTGAACCGTGACTCACTTATCGCTTTGACTCAAGTCTTACAGGGCCTACGTCTCGTCTACCTGGTTAGCTCTTCGCCTCAGCTGGGTACCTCTATTTGCGAGGTCTTAGGCGGATATTGTCGTTGTCTTTGTGAGGAATCTGATAAGACTTGCTATTGTGATAAACTACGTCTTGCCCTTAACAAATCTTGTCGCCATTAGGTCAGGGACCATCTCCAGAGCTTTGACCTATCTTAGGTTTAGAGATGTTGTTTCACCTGCTTGGCGGTGACTTGTCAGTCGACTATTTGCCCTTGGGTGAAGCTTTTCATTTTTGGTTGTTCGTTCTTTTTTAGATTCATGCCGGTAGTTCTAGTGTATACATATCAGTTCCCTGAATTTTCCCTCTCCTTGGTGGTGGCAGCTACGATAAGGTCAAAAAAATTATTATCTTAATCGTGTCACATAAATCAAGAAAATTTAATGATTAGTTCTCCTTTTATTTTTGTGTTCGGCGTGTCTTATAAATAAGGTCAAGAGTTGGGCTCATTGTCAAGATTTTCCAGGCTGCTGAGTAGGTGTCATGTCGGGTGGCACAATCAACAAGACGGTCGACCGGAACCTACTGGTTTTGTCGTGGTATCTACTTGCTCCGACATCTTTCCCAAGAAAGAAAAAGGTGGCCAGAAAAGAAAAGAGGTGAGAGACCGTTGGTCCCAAGTCGGTCGCTCAGGTTGCTTATTTTAAGGGGCTCGAAAGACGATCGCTAAAGAGGCTCCGGAAACCCGTGGCTTCTGACCCAAGCCCCATCCGGGGAAATGGATGAAGGTCGTCCCTTGACTGTATCAGAGTTGGGGATGCTCATGGGTATGTAAGAAATTTCCTTTGACTTTGGCTGGCGCAATAACTTAACCTTCCTTTTAAATGCAGATGTGTCAGCGAGAACAAAGAATGTCGAGGAAGGTGGGTCGTCGAATCCCTTGATTTGATCATCCCCCCTCACCCCTGCCCCCCTCCCTCCTTCCCCCTGGGTCGATGGCATGCCTGGTGCAGTAGATGGTAGAGGCTCTGCACAAGACAATGGAAAGCTCTGTCGACTCTTCTATGTTGGGATGGATGGACCGTTGTTAACGTCTGGAGGTTGCCTTTCAACAAAAATCGACTAACATCGCCTGGCTGGAGGGAGAGGTCACATCGCTCTTGGTTCTCTGAACAATGTCCGAGCTGAAATGGGATCCATTCGCGGTTTAATAGTTCTGAGTTGATTCCATTATGAGGCCGACCGGATGGAGTAGATTAGGCTTAGTGGAGAGATTGTCCTTCAGATGTTACTTGACAAGGACTATGTCTCGTCTGAAGCCTTGGAGGACCCATTTATTAAGCATTTTGTCTAAAACCTATAATAATGATATTTTTAATAAAATAACATTTTGACAAAATTTAAAATGACAATTTGTGTGGTGTTGATTTTTATGCAACCCTTCGATTTGTGTGCCTGCCTTGCAAATAGGTCTAGGGGTCGCCCTCAGTTTTTGTACTTTGTTCTTCGAGTCTTCTGATTCCTTTTCCTTCATATTCTTTCGTTCTTTTCATTCGACTGTTATGGCTCCAAAGTATTCTCCAGATCTCTTTGGCATCGTGAGGGAGACCAATCCCTCTTCTTTGACGGACCAGAACGTGAAGAGTCTTTAGGAAATCACCCTCCGCGAGACGTCTATTGCAGGGCGCCCGATGGACTACATGGGCCCTAGTCTGATGTCTATCAGGATTAGTTTAAGTATGGTGTCCAGTTGTCGTTATGACCAGAGCTCACAACCGTGCTCACTAGATACAGGGTCATTTCAAACCAAGTTCTTCTGAACTCTATCTTGGTCATCGTGATTTTCATCATGTTTTGTCGTCTTTTCAGCATCCCTTAGTTGATCGACACTTTTAGTTACTACTTCTCCTTCAAGATCGACCGGAGAGGGTTTTCAAGTTTATTAAAAGCAAAATATCATGATTTTTTCATAGAAAGTCAAAAATCAAAATGCCTCTAAAAAATCAAAATGTAAGCATTTTATGAGGAAACTTTACAAGGGTAACATAAAGATGCATGTGATTACTAAAAAAAAGACTAAATTTCAAATGAATAGTTAAAACTAGTAATAAATAATCTACCAATGATAAAACTAGTGTATCATATGAATTATTAATATTTTATGAGGACTTTGTTTTTCATCTTCTTTGCATCAGACAAAATCTATATTGTTGCATTACTCATCATCTCTAGTTAGAATTACAATATATTTTTTGAGAGATTAACTTAGATGAGATTATTGAAGCTTCCTAATTCGGTGAAAAATACTCTAATTTTAATTTTAATTTATTTAAATTTAGATTATCAACTCATTTTTAGAAAAGATTGAAGCTCTGTTAAAAGGTTTGAGAATCTCTCTCACTTTCAAACCAATTTATCCAAACATATAGTTCACTTGTCTTTAGAAGAAATAAGAGCTCTTCCGCATGGAATAAAAAACTTATGATACATCAACTTCAATTAGTCTAGATAGAGATAATTTTATTATTTTCGAGAGATGATCGAAGCTCCATCGCTGAAACTACAAGTTGTATCGTGTGTTTTTCTCACCCAAGTGAAGTTTGCATACTTAATGAAAAGGGAAGAAGTTACTAGTTACTTTGGACAGGCACTTTTTTACAACTTATTGGTATTTTTCTCCTATTTGTTAATGCTAAAGAAATTTTTATTCATTTTTATTAAAAAAATTTAAGAAATTGATGGATAATTTTGCACCACTAGTCTGTTTAAATCTAACTTGGTTTATGTTGTCTCTGATCCCTTCGGATGCATTGACACCCATCAACCATGAGCAACCTTATAACTAGAAATCTCCACGTAGCATCATAGTGATGACAAATGGGGAGTTTTCTTAAAATAAAGGTGATTAGTGGTGCCTTCTTCGGTAACAATGGGTTACTTCATTCTAAGAGACTTAAATAATTTCAGAAGGTAAAACTGTTTGTTTTATATGTCCATACTTCTAATAGGTTGGGCTAGGTTGGGTTCGGGCTAGGTCGGGTCTAGGCTATGTTGGGTTGGGGCAAGGTAAAGTTTGAACTAGGTCGGGTTCGGGCTAGGTTGAGTAAACCCAAACCCAAGCCTAACCTAAATACTTCATTAATTTATTATCTTAAAACAATAAAATTAAATTAAATAAAAACTTGTAGGAGGAGGGAAGAAGTGATCAAAACCGTAGGAGGAGGAAAGCCACAACACTAACAAAGAAGAGGGAGGAAGAGGAAGAAATGTGCCCAAACAAAAGAAAGGGGAGGGGTATTTATAAGCGATTTGACGGAGAGGATCGGTGTCAGGAACAGTTAACTCCCTCGAATTGATCCCGAAGATTGTCAATTAGTGCAGCAATCAGCAGTTGTGCTTCCATCGACAATTGGAGATCCCATGAATCATCGATAGCAAAGCAACATGTCATTTGGCTATTGGACTTGAGCTAGAAGGTCGAGATTGCAGGGGTGGCACGAGATAAACTGTGGTAAACGACTTGGGTACACCAAGATCGCAGTGCATCCATACTAATTACTTTTACGGTGTAAGGGCACCCGGTGCATTATCAGCGCGGGGGCACCCATGCAGTGAATAGAGAAATTTAACATTATCTTCATCTTTGGAAGGAATGCAAGTCAAACCCACCCTTATGTTTAAGTCACAATATTCCACTTGGTAGTATGCATTTTTTTATTATTATCGTTATGACTAAGAAAATTGTTAATCAAATTTTCTTCTTAAATCTTTAGGCGAGGAAGTAAAATGAAATCAATAATAAAGGTAGCTCTAAATAGTAATCCTAGTAAGTTGACGAAAGTTTTTGGCTCTAACTAGCTAACAAAAGTTGAAGCTTTTCAAAAAGTTTTTGAAGGTTGCCAACAACTAATTTAGAAGGTTT